GAAAAACCTAAAGGATTGAGTAGCTTGGAGTGGTGTTGTACTCCTCGTGAAACACCTTCAATCTAGGCCAGAGTTGTCAAGGCTAGATTGGCATTAAGTGTATTGGGCTTAATACATTAGTGAAATCCATTTGAAATAGGATGGGACTGGATGTAGGAGGATTACACCACATCTGAACCAGGATATATCGTGTGTTGATTTCCTTAGTCAACAAAGCACACACCCAACACTTCTCGTATAAGAAATTGTAGTTTGCCAGTAGCATTTTAAGCAGTTGTCTTAACTGACTCAACTGCTTATCCTACTGCTCAATCATTCACTTTTTCTCGAGATAACCTTTTCACAAGAGCTTCGCAACATCACTGTCTAAAGGTACACTTTACCAGAAATCACTTCTCTTACTGAACCAGCTGGCTCAGCAGTTCCCTGATTTCACTCAACTGCTGAGACCTCTGCTCAGGCAAAACACCTTAAAATTCTCAAGCTCAGTATCCAATCAGGAAGCCCTCATCACACTACACAAGGTCACATAATCACCCAAAAGAGTCGCTCTTTTAGATCCCCGGAATTCACTCTTCAAGTATAGCAGAGACCTCGGCAGTGCCCTGGTGACCACCCAACTGCTGAGCCCTCTGCTCATACAAACTTACCTCCTGTGAACATCTCAAGTATCATCACAGACTCATAACCTCTCTAGCAAGGAAGGCAGTCTGAACCAGGCTACAAATTCCAGTTTATAATTCAAGCAGGTGACTCAGCAGTTCACTCAGTACCACCCAACTGCTGAGACCACTGCTGAAATACAGTTGTAGCTTCCTCTCAACAAAAGGATAGTATCCCACTGCCTTCATCATCCTAAACAACATTCCATCATCATTTTTGTCATACAACCTGTATTTGACTAGCAGTTGCCTCAACAGTTCTCTTCTACCTAGTCAACTGCTAAGCCAACTGCCAAGCCAACTGCCAGCTATCTAAGTCCAATCTTCCCAGATCAGAAAGTGATTGAAACATTCACTACATAAAGGGTAAAGACTTCCGCTGTGCATCTATTAATCTCTCAAAAGATTATAGATAAACTCCTCTAAGAGGGAAATATTTGTAAGGGTCGAAAAGATTTAAAAGTCTATTCACCCCCCCCCCCCCCCTCTAGACTTTTACCCTATCCGGGACCATCAATATACATGTCATTTTTTCAAAACAGAAACTAATAAAGACACGGGAATTTCACGAGGACTTTTTTTTTGGTTCAAGAGAGATTCAAAAACCCTGATCTCCCTTAGAGAAATTTGCGAACATTTCCCTAAAAAGTCTTTAAAAACATGTTACAAGATAAACTCTCCTAGTTTACTCTTGAGCGACCCAAACTCCAACCTCTCTAGGTGGAATACCTGTTACCTTATCTTTTGAATAAGGAGTTTCTCGACTTTACAACAAAGTCCTCATGTCATACCCTAATTGTAACGACCGTCCCCAAACGGCCATTACCATACTTAATGTAAACAAGACTCTATATACAAAGCGGAATATTACAGAATACAAAGTCTCGTATGAAACTTTATTTCTTATATACATAAGAAAACTCCATAACTGAACTATCAAAGACCAACAACGATCACACTTAACACAAAGTCATCACACCTGATCAGGATTTTTAAAACAAAACATAAAACAACTCATAAAAGTGTCATAGTAAAACAACAAAACATGAGACACAGCCAGGTCGTTTCCGTTAACCCATCCACAGCCTCGCTACCTGGCTCGAACATTCTCTCAGGCTTCCATTCTTCATTCATTACCTATACATGAGACACAAGAGAACAGAAGTCTCGTAAGCAAAATTTGCTTAGTAAGTCACCATTACATCCACTAAAATAACAGAGTCTTAGCTAGCCATAATTAGATACATAAGCTAGAATACTCCACACATAGCATATTCACACACATATTCATATCATGTAAAGCATAACTTCATGTAACGAAATCTAGAAGATTTCCTCATTTATTATTCTTTCTTCCTATCTTGCTACTTGACTTAATGGGCCCGTAGCTCGTGTCCTGGCCCCTCGCTAATGACCTTGGGTAGCTAGCTCACAGCCATTAGAAGTAATTCTGGGACTCCCCGCGGAAGGAAATCCCGCTCCGTTCAGCTCAGGTAATTACTTGGGGGAACGGCTACCTTAGAACATTTCTTATCATTCATTAGATATCATTATCATCACAACTTTCATTCATTGTTGGATTCCATATAAATCCAACCTAACCATAAACATAGAACTTGGATACCTTACACTGATAACTCAACAAGTTCTCCATCAACATCACCTATCAATATATACACGTAACATGGCATTCACATAATATCATACCATACAATTTCAAGTATTCGAGCCAACCTATCCAATTTATAGGTAGCTAGACTTCCATTTCTTTTCATTTCAAACTATCATGTATAGGTGGTGATTACTTACTTGATTCACGTGGAGTTTTTACCCTTGATCGTGCGTATAAAGCGTGCACGGGCAACGGTTCTTCGATTGAGCAACTATATACATTGTTTACATTTGATCAACAAAACCTCATGTTTTTAACCAAAACCTTAAAACTTAGGCATAAGGGGAATTCAACAAAAAACCAGCACCCGAACATGATAGACTTCTAAAACTCATAATCTCAACCGGTCAAATTTTCGGGTAACTAGCCAACCAACTCCCGATTGAACTTCATACTCAAGAGTCAACAATAACTAACCAATAATAATACTATCAAGAGTTCTACACATCTAATTAAAATCAGTTTATATATATCTATTTAGAATCAACCTATACCTAGTAAGAAATATCATCAAATTCTTTCATCAACTTAGTAAAATTTTGGAATAATTAGTTATACAAGAACAAATTGAAGTTTGTTAAATCCAGTCTAAGCAACAACTTCAAAACAATCTTACTATCAAGAAAATCCATTAATTTTCCTAGAATCAACCCAAAGTTCACTCAACCCTAGTTAAATCCCAAAACAAGAAGTATGGATCAAATATCGAAGAATTCTTCATGTAAAATGTAAAAATCTTACCAAGTGATGATCTTTGATGAAGAATATGTTTAATTTGAGCTTGAATCACCCTATAAATGGTTTGAGATTGATTTGTAGAGAGAAGGACGAGCTGGGATCGATTTTGGGTTGAAAAGGGGGATTTAGCGATTAAAAACGTTTTTGATCGACACAGCCAAAACTGACCGAACCGGCGCCGGTTTCCCCCTGAACGGCGCCAGTTTCCCTGCCATTCTAACACCCTAAAGTTTCTGTTTTGGACCGGCGCCGGTCTGGGTCCAATCGGCGCCGGTTTGAGGTCAATCGGGTGCTGAAAACGTCATTTTTTGCCCTAAACCGACCCCGATTGTTGCCGATCCCATCCTAGACCCCCAATGACCTTTTTAAACTATATTTTAAACACTAAAATACTATTTAACATGAAAAATAACTTTATATACCATTACATTCAAAAATACGAATGATTATTACGATGTAGTTTCGTTGCTCATCGGATACCGTCGCCTGTCACGTTCAAACATAATACAAGCATGTAAGTTGAAATATCATTATCACAAAGTTAATACTCACATGCTATCCCTACACTTCACACATATAACACTCATACATAAGTTAAAAACATGATCATATATAACATTAATTAATGCATAAGAAGTAGAAAAAGTACGGACGTTACACTAATTTTGGAGAAAACGCTCTCAGATGTTCCTCTCTAACTCAATACAATAATATTAAAATGATAAAATAACAAGGAATATAACCACTTAATAAACTATTTCTGAAACTTTATCTTCTAAGGCATCTTTTATGTGTTCGACTCTCCTTTACGAGTAATATTCTGTCCCACTTTAACCACTCCTTTTCATACCCGAATTTGGGTATTTATACTGATGTTTAGGAGATGTCCATACTTTGTGACATTAAGAACTTTCCTTCTGATCACACTTTCCTTTGTTGTGTCCTTCCTTTTTGAAGGTCGGTTCTTCTCTTAAAATGTGCTATGTCACGATTTGCTACGTGTTGATGAGCACTTAAATATTTCCGATCCATTTATTTGAAAAGCAATATGCACACATATATGATTTAAAAAGAACTTCGTTTTTAATGATAACACGACATATTGCGTATTATATTCTCTTTAGATCTTTGCAAGGAAGATGTTTTGTCTGTGATTTTCCTTAAAATTTTGTCCTTTTATTTTGAAGATGATTTCTTATTCATGAAAATGATTTGGAAGATGTTTTCTTATACGTATTAATAAATATCCCTTTATTCATTTTAAGGTAAACCTTTTTATTAAAGGGACATCCTTGTGAGAAGAGATGCATGAACATCCATTTTGAAATTTGAAAAGTCCTTTTATTTGGAACATGATTTGTGAGAAAGATCTCATATTTAATCCCTTGTTTGTTTAACTTCTTTCCTTTAAAGAAAAATCCTTTCTGATATTGATTATTTCCTTCAGAGAATAATCCTTTTTGGTCAAGTATAAGTCAAAACCGAATTTGAGTGAAAAAGGAAAGATATTTTTAATAGCCGAATTAATCAACGTTGAATGAGCAGCTCAGTTCTAGGACCAGGTCTAGACCACACAGGCTTGTTGCAACGCACGAGTTAAATACATTTCCTGCAATCACTCATAAAGTAAAAGTAGCACTAAATTGTTTGTCATCAACAAAACAATATGTTCCAAAAGATTGTATAGGTGATAGGTGTGAAAACACCTAAAACTTTCTCATAAATTTTGGTCTTTATTTGTTAAGTATTGATAGTTTTCCTCCCATTTGGTTTTACTTGTGCAATATTTTGGTTGTAGACACCAAGAAGAGGATTTGAGCATTGTAGGGGTAAACACGAGTATTTGAAAGAGTCTTGGGAGCATAAATGGATGCTTTGAAGACCCCGGGATAAAACCGTGGACAAAGAAGCAAGAAACAAAGATGTCAGAGGTGTTTTGGTGGAAGAAGGCATAGAAAAGCTATGAGAATTTACGCCCAGATTCAACAGTCGAATAATCTAAGAATAATAGGAAGAACTAAAACAGTAGAAGAGAAATTCACCAATAACGTATACCGTGTATTAATGATGATGAATCCATGAAGACCAATTACATAGTACTCGAACGTATAAAGAGAAAGAATTTCTATTCTATGTGCTCTACCAGAATAATATGCGGAAACAGAATGTGTAGAGACTTAGGGAACAAATTCAGCCATCACAACCTCTATTTATAGGGAGTGGTTCAAATTGTCTTATTACAATTAGGAAGCAGTTGTTAGGCATGTGAGCATATTTAGAGCACATTAATATTGGGCCTAATTCTCTCTCAACTAATCTAATTAATTACAAAGACTCATTAAATAAAATACAATTAATTTGAACACAATAAAATAATATTCTAACATTCTCCCCCTTTGTGTTCAAATGTCGATGAAACGTTGTTTATCTTTGAGTCTTGTACAATGACTTCCGCTAGCCAAGGATGACTTCACAATGTCTGAGAGTCCTTCTGAAATCAAGTCTAACTCCTATGGCTTCGGCAAATTCTCCAATGAGATCAATCTGGATCGGGTCATCTGGATTCTCTGAATTCTTCACTTTCAGCGCGGCTTCTTCCAGATGTTCTTCTATGATTTTGAGCGTTCCATCACTGTACTTATGAATCTGTTTCAGCAGCAGGATACGTTTCACACCTTTGTAATCTCTATAGATGATTCCTGTCTCCGGATGTGTTGTGATGGTGTCTTCTTCAAGATTCTCGATCCACGAAGCTCTATTTCTCGGAGTTGTCATATTGTCATGCCCCAGACCGCATCTAGGCGCGTGTATAACCGCCGTATGACCAAGTGACGTCACTCGCAAGTCAACGTGTCTTAATCATACAAGGCGTCCATGAACATAATATATCCATACTCAGTAGTAAACATACACAACAACATCACAGTTTAGATTAATTGAATAGCGGAAATATTCAACAATTAATCATGGGCCACACATGGCCAAACATAGGCTCGCAGACCAAAACAATGTATTAATACAAAAGTATCCATGAGCACAGTTTATTTTTTTGAAATAGTAGAGGGAGCACGAACCACGTCTTCCTCTGGATTCTCTTCACCCGTGCAAAGGTGTAGATGACAAACCTTAACTTCAACCTGAAATGGTGGGGCCCCCCGAAGGGATCAGTACAAGTACCGAGCGAGTAGCAGACTGAATATAGAATAACTAACGTTTCAAGTATAAGACCCAAACATAGGGTGATACTTATGTAAATAGTCTTTTCCCCCAAGTTAAGAAATACTTAGTAGTACATATATACTTGGAAAATACCCGATCCGTAGATCACCGTTTTATTTGGGAAAATATTAATAGTCAATATCTTTGACTAAAAACCCCAACCCACCCATATGCCTATGAGTGTATAGGACTCCTCCTTGTCCATACTTCAATATTATAATCTATGAGTTTTGAGGATCAAAATCCTTGGGTACTCCACCAAATTTGTATTTGAGTGTTAAGGACTTTTAGTCCTAGGGTCCTCCACCAATTTATTATCCGAGTGTTAAGGACTTTAAGTCCTAGGGTCCTCCACCAATTTATAATCCGAGTGTTAAGGACTTTAAGTCCTAGGGTCCTCCACCAAAATATGAGTGTTAAGGACTTTTAAGTCGTAGGGTCCTCCACCAAAATATGAGTGTTAAGGACTTTTAAGTCCTAGGGTCCTCCACCAAAATATGAGTGTTAAGGACTTTTAAATCCTAGGGTCCTCCACCAAAATATAATCCTATGATCAACCTCCTATCAACCTAGATAGGATCTATATCATATTTATCCATTCATAGCTAAATCAATACATAAAGCTTATGTAACACAATCCATGCAAAGTCATGCGTTTATATAACTTCATAATTAACTAATACCATCCGGTATCAATTAATCCATTATCCATCGGTCAACGTTTTCGTTGACCACCATTTCAAACCTTATACGTATCAACTTAATCATCATATAATTAAGTTAATAATGTTCATTCGTGCTCCTCTTACGCTTCAAGCAAACATGCATTTTATATAATTCCTCATAACATATTTCATGCATAAACAATTAATTCCTTTCATACAAACTTAACCATATTGGCTAATCACATGTTTAAATACCTTTTAAACATAATTTTGAACACATATAACATTTATTTAGGTAATCTCATAGTTAACCCAAAATTTATAAGATATTAAGCCGTCCACTCACCTCAAATGAGCTTTAAAAAGATTCTACACTTCTTAGTCGAACTCCGGCGAAACTCCGACGAACTCCGACGAAACTCCGGTGAACTCTAGAAACACTTTAGTCAAGCTCCTAATATGTTTTTATCATCACAAAACTCATATCAATACAAATAACCTCCAAAAGGTTATTTTCCGGTGAACCGGTCATATTGGCTTCTAAGTCCGTTCTTGGGCTTAGAACTACCTTCCAACCCCTCATTCTACACCTCTAAACATGTAGAACAAATTTTAGGGGATCTTCCATATGATATATAATTCATATGATAAGTAAAAAGTAAGGGAAAAGTTATTATAAGGTGAATACCTTAATTATCCAAGTTTTCCTCACTTTTTCCTTCTTAATCCCCCTTCTTTTGAACCACCCTTGCTTGAGCTTGTTCTTGTCTATGGAGAATGATAGATGGAGGGTTCTTTCTTCTGATTGGGGTGGGTTGGCCGAACTGATCAAGGGAAGAGGGTGGGAGTGTCCTTTTTGTCTCAATAGCATGTGTGGTGTGGGTGGAAAGGCCCACCCCTATTTTATTTAGATGCTCTTCATCTCAACCACTCCTCTCCCATAATGCAGCCCCTCTTTGTCAACCTTGAGAACAAAAAAACGTGGGCTGGCCCCCACTCATGTGGGAGGTCATCCCAACTTGTCCCGAAATGTACATTCGGCCCCGAAAGTTGTATTTCTCGGACTGTTTTAATTATACTTTATTTTATCGGGTCAAATAAAATATACTGTGTGATTTCAATCACTATGGACCCTTAGAATAATTATTAATCCCCCATCTTTAATTTAGAAGTCTCCGAAATTCATTTCGGGCTGATATCCGATAAATTACTAATACCGGTAATTGGGCCTCGTTTGACCAACGGGTCAACCCTATGCCCTTACTATGGCCCAAATAAAATATGTACCATCATATAAATATTATCTAGACCAAGATGAATATAATATGTGGTCCGGGGGTTATCGGGTGGTCCCCGCTCCTGATGTGGGCCCGCGTGCGATTCACTATTCACGCAAAGTAATCAACCAAATTTACAACCTCGTAAATTCATAAATCATTATTCAAGGTTTATTACATGTTTTACTAAAAAGTAAATATACTTGGAGACGGTGTTACACATATTCACTTTCGGAAATTGTTTTCAATGGTCATCTGCAAATCAAATAAAGAATAGTACTTCACTAGTCTCATCATAAATCTCTTGATTTCATTCGGGCCTAGATATTTGTGTTTTTGCGATAGATCCTTCATTTTGATGAATCTGTACTTATAGAATAATTGGATCAGATCTTTTGCAACAACGTGCTACAGATCAGCTTCAGAAACTCTTTGGATCACGCTATTTTATCTTTCAAATTCAAACACCGGATAACTCACGGGACCACACTTATGGATTTCTACAGCCTTAATCTCTATGATTGGTGAATTAGAATGCTTCAATAATCTTTCTCGATGTCCATACGGGTCATTCTGATGAGCTGACATGTTGCGTAGCATCCATATGTGTCCGGAGGCAGCAATTCCTTCCAAGTGTTCTAGTCCTCTCAGCTCAAGCTCATCGACCCTCTTAATGTTTTTCTCGTTTCTCCAAATTCTTGGTCTCAGATCTTCTTGATATGGTACAATTATCTTGACGTTCTCCCAAGGTGTTTCGAACTTGTCTTCTATCTTGGATTCCTTTGGGCGTCTTTTGATTAGATCTTTGACTAACTGAAGGTCGGGAAGAGGATCGTCATAGAATTCTCCTTGAGCATACTCCTCAGGTTCCAGTCCCATTAGCTCTATAGCAGCTTTCTTCTTTACTTCTCGGATGTAGATCAGTTTGATAAGAGCTTGCCCGTTGCTAATCCCTTGAAGATTGTATTTTTGATTTTCTTCAACCCATTGAAGCAAAAGTAGATCATATCAGATGGTGCTTTGATTTCCTCATAAGTGTCTCGCTTTGCTTTTCTTCTTGGATGATTTCTTCTTTGATGACGAGGGTTGAACTGATGTAGGGATAGAAGTAGATTTAGCAGAATATGTTTCTCTTTCAGCTCTTGAAACCTTTGGATCATTGGGGACAAATGTGGTAGCACTGGGTAAAATAACACCGGGGTCACAAAAACTTACCATTTTCATCATACTAGAGACTAGGTCGTTTTGACGGCCTGAAGACAATGGTGATTCATATGTTGCATTGTCAGAACTTCCTTCCAATCCTTGGTCTACATCCATGAAGGATGAGCCTATAGAAGTTCTCGAGAGGACACAAAGTCCTAGCACAGTATTTAGGGGCATGGAAGGGTGAAAATTGATTAAGGCTAGTGAGTCATGAGGTGTGGTAGAAGATGAGGGTTCAGGCTGAGAAGATGATGATGGTTCAGAGTGTGAAGAGTATGGAATGATGGATTGTGAAGTGGTTTGCTCATAGTTATGCTGCCTTTTCTCCCCCTCATGATGATCCGAGTCATCAGAGTCATCATGCATGCTTACGCTTAGGCAAGCGTTCCTGATCACGGCAGGATGTGGATGGGATGTAAGGTGGGGTTAAGGCTAGGATGTCACAGACTTGTTTGAGATGGGGTGGTAGGTTAGGTTCGGATAAGAGGCGGTCAAGGAAATATTCAGATAAATCAATGATATTCATGAGGGATGGGTCAGGGTGTGAGGTAGATGGTGTGGATATGGTGGATGTGGATATGATGGTGGTAGGTGTAATGGAGGATGAAAGAGTTCCTATGGAGGGAGTTGGGTGTGATCCTTGGTTTGCTATGCCTGTTGGGACTACAGGATGCAGGTCTTGTAAAAGTGAAAGCTTTCAGGCTAGAAGCTCAGACCTTAGATCCTCCATAGTTAGACTAGCGAATGAAGAAAAACCTGACCGAAATGAAGTATCAGTTAGTTCGGATTATTGTAGTGAATAGGGATGATGAAACAATTATAGCATCAGAGGAGGAGACATCAGCTCTCTTGAACTGAGTCTCACCTGTCCTCTTTTTGGGCTTAGTCGCTCTCGGACCCTTGCTTCCACTCGGCTTAGAATTCCCTTGGGTAGACACAGTTGGGTTTGATTGTGTCGTAGGGACAAAAGAGATACTAACCTTGTATTCATTCACGTACAAATCATTTGGAGCAGCAAGGTTGAGTAGAGCATCAGGTATTGGCATAAGCTGCATCTGAGCAGTGTTTTCATAGTTCTTGAAGTAGAGAAGCTGAGGAATCGCTTGCAACTCTGTTGTAGGCCTTGGTGGTATGCTGACATCTTCTTTCATGGAGTGGTCGATCAGAATGGAGAACCAACGCACATATGAGATGTACTTGGTCTTCTTGTTTGATGCTTGGGTGCTTAACTGCTCTAGAATCTCTAACCAAATGAGATGTGCTCAATCATAATTCTTTGAAAACATTACCCCGTGGACCAGCATCAAGATATGAGTGTTGCATTGGTCATGACCAGTTTGCTTGGAGGATAGACACTTGTTCAGAATAGAAAATAGAGTTCTCCATGGCTAGGCAGTTTGTTGCCAATACATTGAGAGGATAGGGTCAAAGAGGGTAAGTGGCCTATCTTGAGCATGTCAGAGAACAAAGTGTTATTGTCTGGGAAAGGGTCATATGTGGCAGATTTTGGTAAGTGGAGGAGGGTGTGAAAGGTATCTTGGGTGATTTGGACAGAGGAGTTAGTTATTGTGGCTTCAAGGGTAGGTATCGGGTTTTGAGTGGTTTGCATTGTACCCCAGAGTTGTCGGAGGTATATCATTGGAGCTTTGACAGATAGTGTGAGAGCGGGCCACAATGGACGTCCTCTTAGAATAGGTATCATTACTTTGTCCTGGCACTTGAAAACCTCTGGATCAAAAAGGTAATTGTTGTCTTTGATCTCGATCCAATTTTCCTTTGGGTAAACTTCCTCCTCAGAAATGAATGTCATTTTGCCTAGAATGCACATATATAACACTTAATGTTAGAAAAGATTGATTTTAGGCCAAGTCAAAAAGGTTCATGGACTTGGTTTTGGGTTTTGTGAGGTTTGTTGGGCTTGGTTTGGGAATTTCGGATTTTGAAACTTAGGAGTAAAAGAAATTTAGGTAATGGGACTTCGGGTGTGATTTGGGTATGAGGATTTCGGTAGTAAGATGTCGGGTGTAGGGATTGCGGAAGGGGATTTCGGGAGGAGGGTTTTCGAATGATGGGATTTCGGTTGTGGTTTTCGGGTGCCCGAAATTAAGGATCTCGAAAGTAGGATTTCGATTCTAAAAGATTTCAGAAAGGCGAATGATTACGGATTTCGGGTGCATGAGCTTGAGGGATTTAGGGGGACTTACGAATTCGGGACTCCGGATTTCGGGTTAGGATTCCTCAGGAAGACAATTTTGGCTGGGCTGGATTTGGAAGGTCTCGAGATCATGGACTTCGAATTCCTTTTGGCTATGGTGGTTAAAATTGCAAAGATTGGTTATTTGGCTCCGTGAGGGATGGTCATTGGAAGATGGTGATTATGAAGGAAAGAAACGACGGTGATGATGGGTTCCGGTGGTTATTGCCGGTGGTCCGCCTTCGTTCAAATAGTACCTGCAAAAAATACATGAACAAAAACAAACATATACATGCTATCCAAAAAAGTAGCAACCTTTGAAGCATTGGAGGAGGATTTGCGAAGGAGATGATGACGGTTGAAAATCGTTTGAGTGCCTGAGTGCCTTTTTAGAAAGATAGTGCGAAGGAGAGAAGAATAAAAATCAACCGTTTTTTCAACCTTTAAGTACCCGCGGAAAAGAAGAAAGAAAATCTTTTTGGTTTTTCTGAATTTTGGAAACTGACAAAATTGGACTGACTAAAAATCCTAAACTGATTCAAATTAAGAAGAAAAATATTTTTTTGATTTTTTATTTTTTATTATTAAAAAAAATGCGGATACTAAAAGAAATAAAATACTCTCTCTCAATTGTAGCACTGAGACTGACTAACTAGTTTTGGTCCCCCTCAATGTTTGCACTCTTAAGGGAAACAAAACAACTGACCACGAAACTGACTTAAAAAAAACTGACATGAAAAAAATAAAACTCTCCCTATACTTGTGCACGGTATTAAAATTCCAAATTCAGCATTCCCAGTTTAGAGACCAGGAACTAAAATCTTTTCTCGTCCACAGATTTTGTGAATAGATCAGCCCATTGAAGCTTTGTACACACAAAGTATAGATCCACATGACCTTTTTCAATATGCATGATCTTTGATGAAGTGAAATCCGAGGTCTATGTGCTTAGTGCGAGAACGATGAACTGAGTTGCATGAGATATCAATCACACTTTTTGAGTCACTGTAGATGAGAATGTGGTCAAAATAGAATCCAAAGTCACACATCCATAATACTTGTGAACAAAACTAACAGGAGCAACGTATTTAGCCTCTGTTGTAGATGTAGACACACAATTTTGCTTCTTTGAGGACCAACAGACCAACTTTTCTCCAAGAAATTAAGCACTACCAGAAGTGATCTTTCTATCCATTTTACATCCAGCGAAATCCGTGTCAGTGAAT